ATATATACATTTAATGCATAAATCAAGTTTGTAAATTTTTAAAAAAAATTGAATTTTTTTATATATTTCATTTCATTAATTCAAATCCACGTATAAAATGCTTTTGTGATTATTCATCAAATTAAATTAATGAGATAGAGAATCAAATAATTTTTCAAATATTTTAAAAATTTGCAGACTTGATTTATATATTAAAGACTTTTAATTTAACGGTTGAATCGTTAAAATTTGATGTAGAACATGAATTATTAAGTGGACTAAGTCTAAGTAGACTTACTCCACTCAATAATTCATGTTCTACATCAAATTTAAATTATCTATCTGTTATTTAATGTATATATAAAGTCTACAAATTTTTTAAAAATTTAAAAATTATATGATACTTTATTTATTGATTCAAATCATCACGTAAAATGCTTCTTAATTATCTGTCAATTTGAATCATATGAATCTAAATCAAATAAATCTAACCTTTATTGATTCACATAATGGATTTGTGATTTGCAAAACCATTAATTCGAAAATCGACCCAAACATCTAATAAAATATATTTTAATATCTCATATGTTTTATTTTATTACTATTTTGTAAATAATGTTTACAATTGTCATGTGAGTACATATTAATCTTTAATTATTAGTTTTTAAACATTACATTGCATTAAGCATGTTCATAGACAAAAAGAAATAATGTTTACAATTTATAAGAGTGTAAAATAAAAGTTAATTATTTATGTTAACCATTTACCTTATCTTCAACAATTTGGTTGAAGTTGAATAATTTATTTTTGTTATACACTTATAGTCTTGGATTAATATTAATTTTTGAGTTTATCATGGTATTGTTATGAAGTATTTACAGTAAAAAATAGTGATTAGTCTCTGTCAAAGATCATAAACATAGATAAAGTATGCATTTTTTTCCCAAAATAGTTATTCAATATTCAAAGTCCAGATTCACATATGAATAATTGGTGGTTAAGAAATTCAAACTACTAGTAATTATGTCAACTAGTGTTGGTAGACTAATATTAATTTATTTAGAATATGAATTTTATTTATAAGTTAATTTATGTTGTTTATAAATATTTGTTTCAAATTCATACATTACTCTTTTATATACATTTGAACATGTTATTCGCATATTTTAACATGTTTATATTTAAATTTGAAATAAAATTATGTATTTTTTATGTTTTAAAAAAATTAAAATAATTTTTAAGAAAACTCAATTAATTCGAATTGAACCAACTCATTAATCAGACTAGTTTAACTTGAATTGCTTTTTTTTTTATTTATATATAAATATTATCAAACCAAAACAAAATTGATTTATTTAAATTTTATTTTACTCTAAATTTGGACGAAACCAGTCCATAAACACTCTGAGAAAAACCTACTTTGAGAATTTTTTTTTAAAATTAAATAAGCTTTAAAATTTTAACAACTTACTCCTTTTACTTTATTTTTCTCAACATGTAAATATGCACAATGTTCAATGTTCAAATTTTGTTACCATCATTTTAACCCACCAATTAAAAAAAAAAAAAAAGTAACCATGGATCACAAGTATAGTGCGACTAGATATCGTAAAAAATAGCTAAACTTGAAATGTAACCATAGATGACAACTTTAGTAACAATCGGTTTTGAGATCAAAGGTGAGAGATTGAAATTGTATATAAATGAGCTGTTTGATCTTTAATGTCACTAGCTAGCCATTGTTAAAAAAGAAAACCCTCAATCAAAGTCAAAGGCAAGTAGATGACAACTAATTATATATAGATGAAAACTAACCTTTAGGGTCAGCCATGTGTTAAATAATTAGGATAATACGCATAAGATTTCAAATTAAAATTAAATTTTGGTGTCCTTTTTTATAATTTTGATAAAATTTTGTTTGAAAGAATGATAACATACCATGTCTGTGGACACTATGTTGGATATAGGTAAACACACGAGGCACTATGTCATGAGAGAGATTCATGGGTTTGGATAAGGCTTCATTTCGCATCTTGAGAAGCTCCTTCATGTCTCCAACCAGAAGCTTGTAAGGGTTGCCATGAAGGCCTTGCTCTCTCAGAAGCCTTTCGAGTCTCTTTGGCTTCAGCCATAACCAGTTCAGCACCCTCCATGTGCATATCAGAATCAGTATCAGTATCAGAATTGAGGCCCAAGCTAGGTCCATTTTTCTCTCCGTATTTGGTGGGGCAAAGAAAAAACGGAAAAGGTGAAGTGACGAAGTCTCGAGAGACACAGAAGTTTGATATATAATGCTGGTGGCAACTTCAGCCATAACCAGTTGAGCACCCTCCATGTGCATATCAGAATCAGTATCAGTATCAGAATTGAGGCCCAAGCTAGGTCCATTTTTCTCTCCGTATTTGGTGGGGCAAAGAAAAAACGGAAAAGGTGAAGTGACGAAGTCTCGAGAGACACAGAAGTTTGATATATAATGCTGGTGGCAATCACTATGTGGCTTGCCTTGTACCACCAAATATGGATTATTAAAATAGCTTGGATAAGTAATATATGTTAAGAAAAGTAAAATTATTGATGAACCCCCCAATTTAAATATTTGTACCTTATCTCTCTCATGATTGATAATAATGGTTAAAATTTTTATTTAGTCCCTTATAATATTTTTTTTATTTCAATTTAATTCTACTTTAATTTTTTTGTTTCAATTTAATTTCTAATAATTTAAATTATTGTAATTTGGGACTTCCGTCTAAATGATTTAAACGGAGTTAACTGTTGGCCACGTGGATATCAGGTGAATGCCACGTAGATGCATAGATGGACGCCAAATTTGATGAATACACCTGGAACCAGAACAGCCCGTTCTGAAACCAGAACGGCCCGTTCTGCTTGCACATGTTATGTGTTAATTTTGCAACTGGAATGGACCGTTCCAAATGCAAATTTAACACACCATGATTACATCAGAACGGGCCGTTCTGGTGTTAGAACGGACCGTTCTGGATTCAGAATGGCCCGTTCCAGAATGCCAACTTCATGCATGCGTTGCCCAGAATGCCGCAATGTGATTCAAAAATTAAAAATAAACATTCATAACATATCATAAATTCAAAGACAGAAATATATGGTTCAGAAATTGAAAACAAAAATTCAGAATATAACATATACTAAAAAAGTTCAAAGAAATTACTAAGAATGGAAATCATCTGGGTAACGCTGAAGGGAAACCCTAAACCACAAAAATTCAGGTTGTACCTCCTCAAGAACATGTTGTTATTGTTGAGGTACATCGTCAATGACTTCAAGGGGAAACATCGTTTCATTTCATCCTTGACTGTATAGAGTCAATTTGGTAGTAAGTGGTTCACTCCAGTTTGACTAACAATGAAATAAAATCTGTTACCATTGTCCTTAGTGATACACTGCATCGTCCTTAATGATACACTATATAGCTCAAATGTTTAGCAATTGAAGTTATTAATCCCCATTGACAATATTACCAAATCTAGTGTTTGAAATGCTTTGTACCTTGGGTCTTTTTTCTTGCACGATTCACAACCGTGAACTATAGTTATTGACTATTCTGGAACCAAAACGGCTCGTTGGTGTGTTAATTTTGCATCTGAAACGGCCCGTTCCAGGTACAAAATTAACACACCAAGAGTGCAACCAGAACGGGCCGTTCTAGTTTCAGAATGGGTCGTTCTGGTTCCAGATGTATTCATGAAATTTGGCTAGAGACTTCATTTAATGCTGCCTGCAATCGTCACACCGATTTCTAGTTTCTTTCAGCCTTATCCTTTCATTTTTTTTAATTAGTTTGTCTTGTATCACTACAAGAAATTCATTAAATAGAGACTGATTTAGAGACCAAATTTACATAGTCACTTTAGCAACTTATTTAAATACTATTTTAGAGATTGATTATTGTTGGTCTCTAATTCAGTCTCTATTGTCATTAATATTTTTAATGTAATTAGAGACCAAACTTTTAGTAGCTAATAGTTTAAAAATATTATTTATTTAATTAGATACAACTTTTTTAGTCTCTAATTAAAATATAATCTGAGACAAAATTTTTAGTCACTATTAAAACACTTTAGAAACCAATATTTTAGTCTTAAGATGCACTAAAATTAGAGACTAAATTTTCTAGTTTCTAATTTAAATATTACTAGAGACTAATTTTTTTGGTCACATTTGACTCAATTTAAATACCATTTTTTTAGTATCTAATTGTTCTATATTAGAAACCAATATATTAGTCTTTAATAAAAATATAACAAGAAACTAATATTCCAACTTACGGTTAAACTCGTCTCAATATGTTTTCGGGGGTTTGAAATCGCCACAATCTTTCATGGCCAACTTAATTAAAATATTTTTTTTATTTTTAAAAGAATAAAAAGGGTTTTTGTTCAGTTCAGGATGAAAGTGCAGGTTAGCTTGTCATCTTCTCTCATAGAATGGTTATAGAATGGTTATAGTTGTTAAACCAAATAGCATTTATCATAGTTGAAAATGGTATGATGTTATTAACTTAGTTGAAAAGTATCTACCTAGGTAATTGTGATTTTATTAGGAAGAATTTCACGCTTTCTTGTCAAATTATAATCATTCATTTAAATTAATATATAATTATTAAAGTTGGTGAATGAAGATAGTACATATTATATATGTTTTGTATAGTATTCCAATTTTATATAGCATTTTTTTTTTGGATCAACTATATATTTATTTATTTTGTACTTTTTTGTGTAGATGACTATTTTAGAAGAAACAAAAGAATGTGATGTACAAGAAGAGTTCCAGGCATAAGATAAAAGAGATGTTACTTTCATGATATATGTTAAGTTTTTGAATCACTCATTTTTTTCACAGGTGTTTTTTTTTTTCTTGAGACATTTTTATGAACTTCACGCACTTTGTTATTGAAAGTGTTCTAAATTTTCGTGTTTTTCTTAAGTTGTTCTTATCTTTGGGAGAAAGAAAGACACTTGATTGATTGATGTTCACTGGAAGTGTTAAAGACAATTTGTTGCTATATTAAAACTAAGTATTTTCAAATGAAATTTTATAGAAAGTGATTGTTTGAGTATTATAAATACAAACAATGAGGATTGTATGTTTGGAGGATATTATGTGTAATTTTAAAAAATTAAAAAAAATTAATTACTTAATTTTCATGTTATTATATAGCGTATGTTGACCTTTTGCATAATAGTTTAATATAGAAGAGATATGTGAAGTAAATAAATAATTAATATTATACTTAAATAATTATCATGTTTTAGTAGAAAAATAATTGAAGTTAGGTATGTGGTGTATTTGAATAAAGAAGATAATAAATATGAAAGAAAATGACATAAATAAGAAAGATGAATAAGGAAAAATTTTAGCGACTACTTTTTTTTATATTATATCAGTCACTTTGAGTCATTGAAAAATGAGCCAGTAAATCAGTTATTTTAAAATTTGGTCACTAAAATGGTTACTTTAGAATCAGTTATTATAATAGTCACTAAGTTGATTATTATAAAATAAGTTGCTAAGTTAGTCATTATAAAATAGGTTACTAAATTAGTTTTTATCAAAATTGGTATCTAAATTGGTTACTGTAATATTGGTAATTAAAACAGTCACTATAAAATTGGTCAATGAGATGGTCATTAAAAATTGGTCAATAAATTAGTCATTGTAAAATAAGTTACTAAGTTGGTCATTATAAAATTAGTCGCAAAATCGGTCATAAAAAAATTGGTCATTAAATTAGTTTTTAAATCAGACTTTAGATTGGTAGCTAAAATTAGCAACTAGCAGTTTAGCTACTTTCTATAATTGATATCTAATTCAGTCACTTATTAATTTAGTAACTGATTTTGTTAATTTAGAGTCTGAAAATTTAGTCTCTAAAGACAAGTTTTCTTGTAGTGTATTTATATATATATAAAAAAAATACTTTAGCTTATTTGAGTAAATATTTGGTTATTGGAGAAATACAAATAACAAATATGAAATAACTAATTATATTCAAATTATTGAAATTAAAAAGTATATATAATTTTAATTTATTAATTTTTAATTTTAACGATTAATATTTACAACTTAATATAAATTAGAATAGCTGTTAGATCATTGTGAGAGTAGTTTATAAATAACAAATTTTTTTATTCAATCATTGTCGTATGAATTTTTTTTGTCACCGACAATTATAATATAGCATGAGTTAAGAGAATATAAAAATTTATGATTATATTTTTTTAAATAATTATTTTCTTGTTTTGCATATATACATGTGGAAAAGAGACAATTTGAGATAATGTAATATTTTAAACGATTAAGATAATATATAGTTAATAAAAAGTAAAATAATTTTAAATAAAAAATAGAGATTAAAGATGATTACAAAGTAATATTATTATAGAGTGGAGAATTAATTTTTTTAACTTTGGTCTTGTATTTGATCATATATATGTATTTTTAATGTAGAAGTATAATGGTGCCTCCATTTGTTTGTGACAAGAGCAAAAGTTAAGGTTTGTTAAAGCATTTGCAATAGAGATTGCTTATAAGCAATCCTTGTGCCACATCATTGTCATATTAGTTCTGATTTATTTTATGAGTTGTTTAAATTTTAGCAAAATTGCTTGTAGAAATAATCTGCTAAAATTTAAGCAATCTATAAAGTGGGTCAGAACTGATTTGGCAGTAATGTAACACAGGAGTTACTTATAAACAATCTCATTGATGATGATGCTTTTATAATGATGCAGCAATCACTAAGTGCCTTTATTATGCCACAGGCAAGTGGCAACAACATCATTGGCTTATTCTGCCGGCAATTACAATTACTCCCTACCTTGATTCTGCCGTTTAGGATAACATTATTTTGCATGATGAAAATTAGGAATGTCCAAACTAATAGGACCATGTAATAAATCCAAGTCAAATCAACAGAAAAAATTCGGATTACCAATTCATAGTATAGAAAATTACAAATTCAATCACTTTGATCCCAATATCAAATTTTGATGTTTAATTAGAAATCATAACAAACCGATTCATTCTACTTAATACATATTCTATTAATTACTCTTATTTTTGTTGTTAGTTTTGATTTAGGCTTTGAAGTTTGAGTTTTCAGTGAAAGGTAATCCCATATATTAAAATATATTTTAAGTTGAGTAATTGTAATATTGAATCAGTTGTGCTATGTGTTTTGCAAGTTGTCTATTTCTTGTTTTTTATTTTTCATTATTTCAGTAAAAATCCAATGATTTGAGCAAAACCAACCTAAACATGATTATATTAGATTGGTTCAGATTGAAAACTAAATAACGAAAAATTTGATTCATTTCAATCGGTTAAAGTTGATCGGATTAGATAAAAATATATTTCAAATCCAATTTAATTCACGCTCACCCCTTATAATGAAAAGTTCTCTTATTTTAACAA